CGCTTTACACTAAATCAACTTGGCACCTCGGTTACAATTTTATAGTGTTGAAAGGTAATGATTTGGGAGTGTTTTTCAGACAAGCAACCTAGTGACAGGTTATACTTTTCACAACAGGAGGAAGTTGCTGTTGAAACATAACTTGTGGGCTTCAGCTCCTTGCCAGTTGTAGGCCTCCTCCTTGTTTGACTGTAATTGTACATGTCTGACAGCAACTGTCATTCCTCACATGTGCTACACATCAACACTGGCTTTGAAAGAAACACAGAAGGAAAGATCTGTCATTTTTGGGTTTTTCCGAGAGCAGGTGTTTTGGTCTTTTTCCAAAAAAACATAAAACCTTATATAAGTGGAAGCTGCGCAATCTTTCTGATGAGGAGTTAGAAGGATCATACCAAAAGGTTCTCTTTATGTGAAGGTCTGCACTGAATGACCTGTCACAAACACTATCCCACAACAAGGGTTCACAGTCTTGTAACTCTTTTTAGCTCTAACGTTTGAACGTGAATGGGAAGAATGCACTTTAAATGAATCTCTATCTATTTCCCCCTTTTGGATAAGCAGTCATGGTTACTACCATAGGTTTTGTACCCACTGGAGCTTATCAGAACAGCTTGTCATGCACATTAAATTGCTGCAGTTTTGAAGCACTCCTATTGTATTGCCCTTGTAAATGGTAATTAATATCTTAAATTTCAATTTGAACTCGGTAAATGAGGGCCAGTAACCCTTGCTGTGGGATAGTGTTAGTGACAGGGCCAGTAACCCTTGTTGTGGGATAGTGTTAGTGACAGGGCCAGTAACCCTTGCTGTGGGATAGTGTTAGTGACAGGGCCAGTAACCCTTGTTGTGGGATAGTGTTAGTGACAGGGCCAGTAACCCTTGTTGTGGGATAGTGTTATTGCCAGGGCCAGTAACCCTTGTTGTGGGATAGTGTTAGTGACAGGGCCAGTAACCCTTGCTGTGGGATAGTGTTATTGCCAGTGCCAGTAACCCTTGTTGTGGGATAGTGTTATTGCCAGGGCCAGTAACCCTTGCTGTGGGATAGTGTTAGTGACAGGGCCAGTAACCCTTGTTGTGGGATAGTGTTAGTGACGGGGCCAGTAACCCTTGTTGTGGGATAGTGTTATTGACAGGGCCAGTAACCCTTGCTGTGGGATAGTGTTAGTGACAGGGCCAGTAACCCTTGTTGTGGGATAGTGTTAGTGACAGGGCCAGTAACCCTTGCTGTGGGATAGTGTTATTGCCAGGGCCAGTAACCCTTGTTGTGGGACAGTGTTAGTGACAGGGCCAGTAACCCTTGTTGTGGGATAGTGTTAGTGACAGGGCCAGTAACCTGAGGAGGGCTACAAGGTTAAATAGATAAACCAAGACAAGACAAGATTTTATTAGGTCAAAACCCAAAATAATACATGTCATAGACAATATATTGATCTTCAGCACATGGCAGGATTATACACACAGTATAAATTGTTATTAATATGCAATGATTATGACACTGTCCAAGTGCAAGGGTATATATAGTATACACTTATTCATGTTTATATCTTTCATTCATAACATAATAAATACATTTGGCAGTGTTAAACAGAACTGCGTCATTTTCACTTTTCAGCACTCCGACAAATTTAAACATATTTGCATTTTCAAGGAGAGTAAAGGATAAATAACGCTGACATATTTCCTGATACTTAGGACAAATATGTAATACATGAATCTCGTCTTCAATGTCATGTGAACAAAAGGGACATTTCCTATCAATAAATGGTATTTTTAGTACACTCCATCTACCTTTCTCAATCATAAATATGTGAGATTTGAGACGAAAACATGTCATGGCAATTCTGTACTTTTTATCGTCAATATTAGATAAATATTTCTCGAAGCAAAGTGTTTCCATAATATGAAGATACAATCTGGTTTCACTTAGAGTTGACAACTGGTGTTTCCACATTTGGGAACATATATCTCTAACCCCCACCCCAGGATATGTCAGGATATGTTGAACTGTTTCTGGAAGTTTTAGGGATTATTTCAATTTCAATGTATTATTCTTTCTGTGTTGAAATGGGAGGTTGATAGGATCATGCCTCAGTGAAGTGATCATGAAAAAGTCATAACAGTGTTCATCTGAAAAATTATTTGATATTGACCGACATGGAGACAAATACATGTCTACAGTCTCATTCAATATTTATGTATCTGGACACATTTAAGCTTGCTTATTGATGAGATGAATACCAGGGTACATTGTTTTGGACTGTACCCCTAATGTCAGTGAATCTACTTGCCAAATTGATGTGCAAGGGTAACTGATCACCATGTGTATACACCGACCTGGACATCACTTTACACTTGTGGTCTAAAGATGATTCACGTTATTTTGCCACCATGTACATATGACTTATATACCATTGTCTCTGTAGCTTGTAAAACTTACTGATGCTTTCTTTACAGCGGGGTTTGCAGTGGTTGTGCTGTTTATTAGCTTCCTAAATTTGTTTAGGTTGTATTTGTCATTCCATGTTGCTCTTGTGTTTGTCCTTTACATTACACACTTCTTGTATATGGTTCCTTTTTTTATCACTTTATTTTTTGGTTGTATCACAACATGTACAACATACATTTTCAACATAGCGCACCTTGTAGATCCAGACATTTTCTGATGCATGGAATACATTTCAATATGGCAGTGTATGACAGAAAGGAATTATGTAAAAAGGCTATGGCATGAAGACCAGTAGGAGATGAATTTTTGGTATCTACAATGTCTGTAGAGAAGCTGCTTACTGGCGTTATAGGAGTCTTGTAAAACTAATTTAAGACTGTATAAGGTTCTAGTGCATGAAGTCCTGGAGAAATAAGTCTGTATTTTTTTCCATTCTTCATTCATCGAGGTGACCTATCTTATGTGGACATGACTCATTGGGTATTTCTTGTTGTTGATTAGATGCACACTGGGAAGCAAAAAATATGCAATTTCCTGGTTTGTCACCACATGCATGTGCTTCCATTGTTCAGCTGTTCTCATCATGCTGATGGCATGGGTTTGATTCCAACTAAGGCTACTTATGTTAAGACCATTTCTCTAGTACTCGGCCGTGTTGTTGATGCGATATTACTAAAGCTGTGTACAATGTGAAGACCATTTCTCTAGTACTCGGCTGTGTTGTTGATGCGATATTACTAAAGCTGTGTACAATGTGTGAAGACCATTTCTATAGTACTCGGCTGTGTTGTTGATGCGATATTACTAAAGCTGTGTACAATGTGTGAAGACCATTTCTATAGTACTCGGCTGTGTTGTTGATGCGATATTACTAAAGCTGTGTACAATGTGTGAAGACCATTTCTATAGTACTCGGCTGTGTTGTTGATGCAATATTACTAAAGCTGTGTACAATGTGTGAAGACCATTTCTCTAGTACTCGGCCGTGTTGTTGATGCGATATTACTAAAGCTGTGTACAATGTGAAGACCATTTCTCTAGTACTCGGCTGTGTTGTTGATGCGATATTACTAAAGCTGCGTACAATGTGTGAAGACCATTTCTATAGTACTCGGCTGTGTTGTTGATGCGATATTACTAAAGCTGTGTACAATGTGTGAAGACCATTTCTATAGTACTCGGCTGTGTTGTTGATGCGATATTACTAAAGCTGTGTACAATATGAAGACCATTTCTATAGTACTTTCGGCTGTGTTGTTGATGCGATATTACTAAAGCTGTGTACAATGTGTGAAGACCATTTCTATAGTACTCGGCTGTGTTGTTGATGCGATATTACTAAAGCTGTGTACAATGTGTGAAGACCATTTCTATAGTACTCGTCCGTGTTGTTGATGCGATATTACTAAAGCTGTGTACAATATGAAGACCATTTCTATAGTACTCGGCCGTGTTGTTGATGCGATATTACTAAAGCTGTGTACAATGTGAAGACCATTTCTCTAGTACTCGGCCGTGTTGTTGATGCGATATTACTAAAGCTGTGTACAATGTGTGAAGACCATTTCTATAGTACTCGGCTGTGTTGTTGATACGATATTACTAAAGCTGTGTACAATATGAAGACCATTTCTATAGTACTCGGCTGTGTTGTTGATGCGATATTACTAAAGCTGCATACAATGTGTGAAGACCATTTCTATAGTACTCGGCTGTGTTGTTGATGCGATATTACTAAAGCTGTGTACAATATGAAGACCATTTCTATAGTACTCGGCCGTGTTGTTGATGCGATATTACTAAAGCTGTGTACAATGTGTGAAGACCATTTCTATAGTACTCGGCTGTGTTGTTGATGACGATATTACTAAAGCTGTGTACAATATGAAGACCATTTCTATAGTACTCGGCCGTGTTGTTGATGCGATATTACTAAAGCTGCATACAATGTGTGAAGACCATTTCTATAGTACTCGGCTGTGTTGTTGATGCGATATTACTAAAGCTGTGTACAATATGAAGACCATTTCTATAGTACTCGGCCGTGTTGTTGATGCGATATTACTAAAGCTGTGTACAATGTGAAGACCATTTCTCTAGTACTCGGCCGTGTTGTTGATGCAATATTACTAAAGCTGTGTACAATGTGAAGACCATTTCTCTAGTACTCGGCTGTGTTGTTGATGCGATATTACTAAAGCTGTGTACAATATGAAGACCATTTCTCTAGTACTCGGCCGTGTTGTTGATGCGATATTACTAAAGCTGTGTACAATGTGTGAAGACCATTTCTATAGTACTCGGCCGTGTTGTTGATGCGATATTACTAAAGCTGTGTACAATGTGTGAAGACCATTTCTATAGTACTCGGCCGTGTTGTTGATGCGATATTACTAAAGCTGTGTACAATGTGTGAAGACCATTTTTATACTACTCGGCCGTGTTGTTGATGTGATATTACTAAAAGCTGTGTAAAATACAACTTATTCATTTTCTTGTTGTTTTTGTGTATGTACGCCAAGTGTAATGCATCTGGCTCTGTGTTTTGTAGAGACGTTGTCAGAGGCCGTGAAGATCTTGAAAGGAGAATACTGTATCCGAGCCCTGGAGGAGCACAAGATGGACAAGGCCCTAATTTTCTGTCGGACCAAGCTTGACTGTGACAACTTGGAAGTTTATCTCAACCAGATGGGTGGTGGTCAGTATTTTTTGATAGTCAAACACACCTTCAATGGCTGCTGGCCAGTACAGGTTTGGATTTGACATATCTGTGTCACAATCTGGCCATTAAAACATCAGAGCTCAACTTATTATACTGTGAACATATTCAATCCAGATCAGCACTTCAGTGCGTGGAATAGACTACATTGCCTGGACAACACTCAACTACGGGCTAAAACCATGCATATCTGTGACATGGAAGTTATCAGAAATATATAAGACAACCTGCATGATGTTAATGTCACGTTATGACATGTGATGTTTCTTTCCTGCATTGTGGAAAGGTGTTAAGTGTTGATCTGAGATCCTCAGTGTAATTTTGTTTTTATATGGGAAAGAAATACAAGATCTTATCCTGCACAAAACTAACAGGTGTATCTGTGTTGTCAGTCATGTAAAGTCCATACATTCCATTCTCACTCATGTGTATGCATTAACAATCTCCATCTGCTCCCTCAACACCTTTAACAAAACAGAAGGTGTTAAAGCAATTATTCATATCTGAATTTAAGAACAATTATCTATTTTTTAAAAGGTCAACATGTACATGTTCATCAAATGAAAACAAATAACTTAATACAGACTCTTAGCAAAGGTGATGGCAAGTACTTGTGCATATGTTCAGCTGGTAACAGCTGTGACAGCGATGTTTAAAGTTGATTTCAGATGTAAAGCTTACATACGTCGAGAATCACTGCACTCAGTTTACATTCAAGTGTTATGCCTTGATCATATCTGAGGATAATATGAGAAATGTAATGAAGCTAATGTCATTTTGAGATGAGACCATCCATAAAGTTACTCTTAAAATAGAATCTGATCTAAATGTTTCAGAAAGTTTTGTGTAACCAATGACAACAGTCGTCATATATACTGTGTGGTCACTACACTGTGTTGTCTTCCTGATCCTGTCTCAACTGCTGGGGCGGTAGCCTAGTGGTTAAAGCATTCACTTGTTACGCTGAAGACCCGGGTTCGATTCCCCATGTGGGTTCAATGTGTGAAGCCTATTTCTGGTGTCCCCTGCCGTGATATTTGCTGGAATATTGCTAAAAAGCTAAAGTTAATGAATTGTTTAAATTCATTAACTGACCATCAACTGAATGATGACAAATAACATGTGTAGGTTTATACCACCTAACACGGGTTACAACAAGGGAGTATTAATTGCTGTATTGCATACAATTTGAATTGCATGTGAAAACTTATGGGCCGACACTGTTTTGAGAATACGAACACAACTTCATTGTTGCATAAGAAATACATATAAGCATTAGCTGTATGCTAAAACTGTATGTACCTATTTGCCTACGTAAATTTTCAGATTCTTCTAGCAATGGCAAAGTAGGGTTGTTTAGTTTACAGTTCAAATAAATCAATTGTCAATTTATAATATCATACGTAATAGGCGTCATATTTTTACATGACATGATTAAATATCGAGGTAAAAAAACACAGAAATGGGATCAAATTGGATCAGTCATTATACCATCCAGGCATTAGAAAACCTGAAAAAGCTCACACTGCTTTGATACTTTATTACAATCAGAAAAGAACTACCGGGGATATTTTCAAATAACTGCATCTGATGGGCATCCACCTGTCTTAATGTCGGACTGTTTAGGTTGAAGAAATTAACCGTAACCGTGATGAGCGAGGCTGATCATTGTCTGGCTCCAACAAATAAGGCCTAGCTACACCAAGCTATTTGAGAGAATCGTCTATGAAAACAAGTTGTAACTCGGAAACTAGGCAAAGCAGGAGACAAAATTAAATGACAGTAGATTGTGAGAACATATAGCTTTCATTTTTCACAACAGTTGTCACGATTTCAGGTTTATACAAACCTGTAAAGAAGAAAATTTACGCCCTGAAATGTACATGAATTCTGCATCGGCCCTCATATCTATTCCTCATATGACGTCACAGAGACGCGCCGCTCTGATTGGTTGAAATTTCGTTCGCGGGTGAGAATTGTGCACTGTTGTCAAAAAGGTCGATTTAAGTTAATTAAAGATCGAAATGAGTAGTTTTAATGACGGGGTTTCATTTATAATGATGCCAATTAGTGATTTATGTATTTGTACCCCCCTAGAGTATATGTGATCTTTAAGACTGGAAGAGAGAACCTTGTAGATGATCTGAGGTCAGGAAGACCTTCAAGGAAAATGTTAAATAAATACATGAGATTATTATAAATGGTCAATGACAAACGACACATCTCAAACCCAGTTCACAGGCTATTTCTCATGAGAAATGAACTTGACTTGAGATGGGTTTCAGCACTCTGGTTTCTGACACCTGCTCAGAAATACTTCATGTAAATTTATCTCTTGTGGGAATTTAATGTCATTCTGACGCAAACCCAACTGTTGCAACATTTGACTGTTTAAGAGTCTTGGGTCCACCACCTCCATCCTGATTTTAAACAACGGTCAAAGCAGAGAAAGATCTAACTTATTCCACCAATAAAGGCAAAATTTGTTTCATCAGCTAGGATTCCAGCAAATTCTGCTGCAGTACTTTATCTTGAAAGGTCCGACCATTAATGGCCAATATTATGATGATCTGCTTTGGCAGCTGTGTAAAAATATCAAGACTGAGCATCATGGAAACCCATGAAAGGTGTGTAGTACTACCAGTACAATTCACCTGCCCAGGAATCTGTTGACACACAGCTAATATGGATTACTGTGGCTTGGAACTAATTCAACATCCTCAGTTATCACCAGGTTTGGGACACTTACATTTTTACCTATTCACAAATCTGGAAGAAAGAACTGTCTGGCAAGCATTTTGCAAATGATTAAGGATTTTCTTGAAACATTATTTAGCAATCAACTAAATCAATACAATTCATTACAGTTAGGTTCAGAATTTTTCTTGCCCCACCTCTTTCCTATTAACATGCAGCTGGCCTGTTTGAACAATGCTGAATTGCATAAACTTAAGATAATAATGTTTGGTTAGTAATTTCACTGCCAAACCAGGACATCATGATGCTGGTCAGAGGAACAGAAATTGACTTAACTGAAAAACACTTGCCTCAAGGTGGTTTTAGCATCCTCTTTTAAATAACGAGAAGACTGATTGGTGACTTGTACGTAATTACCCTCCAAATAAAACTTCATCCAGTTTTTGGTGTTAAAGACCTAATTGGCCTCAACTATGAAATTAACTGTTAGAACTGATGCTGACTGATTCCGTAGAGAACTATTTGAGAAGGAAGTATTTTACTCCAAGTCATTTTCTTCTGATGAAGAAGGTCTTCAACGAGGCTGTTCTATGCTTCCTAATTACCTACCTTACACTAAATATCTCCTCTATTAATGGTATGTACAAGTTTGTCCTTAATGTGTCAAAATCACATTTTTGTACATTATCATGAATGAGTTATTGCTAATGAGAAATGTCCCATCTGCTCTCTGCAACCCTTATCTCTTTCCTCTATCAAGTGTGGCCTTATAATGGGTCATCACCGAGGGACCTTGCTACAGACAGCAAGGGGCATGGGGACATGACCACAGCTTGTGGGTGAAATATGACAAACTGTTATGATGAGTTATTTATTGTGAGTTATTGTTGTTTGCTCATGTCTTTTGGCTGGTTGGGAACCTGTCATGTTGAATGCTGCCCTCCAAGTGTGTCAGGGCGAGGGAAGTTTCAACTGTAATGGTAACTGTCAGAGCGGGGGCAGGGGAGGTGTTCGATGCAATTGTGAATGCTGCTCTCCATGTGTGTCAGGGCAGGAGAGGTGTTAACTGTAATGGTGAATGCTGCTCTCTAAGTGTGTCAGGGTGGGGCAGGTGTCAGTTGCAATTGTGAATGCTGCTCTCCATGTTTATCAGGGCGGGGCAGGTGTTAACTGTAATGGTGAATGCTACTCTCCATGTTCGTAAGGGCGGGAGAGGTGTTAACTGTAATGGTGAATGCTGCTCTCCATGTTTGTAAGGGCGGGAGAGGTGTTAACTGTAATGGTGAATGATGCTCTCCATGTTTGTAAGGACGGGAGAGGTGTTAACTGTAATGGTGAATGCTGCTCTCCATGTTTGTAAGGGCGGGAGAGGTGTTAACTGTAATGGTGAATGCTGCTCTCCATGTTTGTAAGGGTGGAAGAGGTGTTAACTGTAATGGTGAATGCTGCTCTCCATGTTTGTCAGGGTGGGGGAGCTGTCAGTTGAAATTGTAAATGCTGCTCTCCATGTTTGTCAGGGTGGGAGAGGTGTTAACTGTAATGGTGAATGCTGCTCTCCATGTTTGTCAGGGCAGGAGAGGTGTTAACTGTAATGGTGAATGCTGCTCTCCATGTTTGTCAGGGTTGGGGAGCTGTCAGTTGCAATTGTGAATGCTGCTCTCCATGTTTGTCAGGGCGGGAGAGGTGTTAACTGTAATGGTGAATTCTGCTCTCCATGTTTGTCAGGGCAGGAGAGGTGTTAACAGTAATGGTAAATGCTACTTTCCATGTTTGTCAGGGCAGGAGAGGTGTTAACTGTAATGGTGAATTCTGCTCTCAATGTTTGTCAGGGCAGGAGAGGTGTTAACTGTAATGGTGAATTCTGCTCTCCATGTTTGTCAGGGTTGGGGAGGTCACACAGTTAACTGTAATGGTGAATGCTACTTTCCATGTTTGTCAGGGCAGGAGAGGTGTTAACTGTAATGGTGAATGCTACTTTCCATGTTTGTCAGGGCAGGAGAGGTGTTAACTGTAATGGTGAATGCTACTTTCCATGTTTGTCAGGGCAGGAGAGGTGTTAACTATAATGGTGAATGCTACTTTCCATGTTTGTCAGGGTGGGGGAGGTCACACAGTTAACTGTAATGGTGAATGCTACTTTCCATGTTTGTCAGGGCAGGAGAGGTGTTAACTATAATGGTGAATGCTACTTTCCATGTTTGTCAGGGTGGGGGAGGTCACACAGTTACCTGTAATGGTGAATGCTACTTTCCATGTTTGTCAGGGCAGGAGAGGTGTTAACT